AATTTCTCGGATTTATACAAGTCACTCTGCGTCCAAAATTGGTGTCTTTATGTGAATGGCTGACTGCTTGTTTGTTTTAGGTGGCATCATGGTGATCTCCTTGATTTCTTTGTGCGTGAAAAGAAATGTTTTTGAAAGATCCTACTTTATCCAGTCTTTCCTGAATTTAGCGTCTAGGCGAAAGATTGCCATCCCAACAGAATTCAAAAAAAAAAAAAAAAACCTCCAATATTTTATTACAATCTGTCAATGACAGTCTTATTCATATCACATCAACAGTACTCATGGTAGCTTGGAGGTTTTACTAAGAGCTGGATATAAATTCAAAAGGACGTTGATCGTTATAGTTGCCTGGGGGGTCATAGTTGCAACTGATGATTGTGCCGCCATTATCGCACCTCACCTTAGCACATCCTAGACGAACCGAGTTGCGCCAAACTACCTGAGTGTAATGCAAGCACTGCCCACCAACACAGGAATTCGAGTTGTAGTCATAGTTTGCCCTCTCATCCACCCACATTTTCACAGCAGCCGTGCCGGCAAGGTCAGCGCTGCCCCATGCAAGGTTTTCACCACAAGGACCACTGGAGTGCACCATTCTGCAACCGTCCCTTAGTCCATTAATGTAGCTTCGTGCAAAAGCAGCCACTGTATTGCTCCATCTCATGGGCCCTACACCCACCGATGCACGGGCAGCATTGTGAGCATTGAGGAAGTCTCGCGGGGAGTCCTGGGCATGGGCGTCGTGCACAGTACTGGCTAGAATTACTAGAGAGATAATTGCTAGGGCAATCTTACTCATCTCCATGTTGATTCGCCTGGAGGAAGAGGAGTAAGCACTTGGGGCTAACGTTGATGAATAGGAAAGAGCATTTATGTAGGTATATATAGGGATGTCCTACTTAATGTTTAATGTTCATCATCATCATCCTGCAAGAGAAGAATTATGGATTAGTTGCTAGTGGGAAATATTTAAAAGTACATTGGATTAAAGTATATGCCAGTAGAAAGTCATCTTCGATAATATATAAAAATCAACAATGGCCGCCTCTCAAGGCAAGGCCGCCACCGTTAGGTAAGGCTCCATGCTCAATGGGCTGCTAGACTGACCCACCATGAGTTGATTATTTGATAGAATCTATTTTTCCAAGCTCAACTTGATCAGATGGCGTTCTTAACAGGAAAATAAGGGGGCTGCTTATCCTCATTCAATTAAGCGAGCTTTTAAAAGATGTTTCACATGTTGTCCCGTAAGCTCTTTATATTCAAGTTCCACTTGCTTGTACCCTTTCTTCATAACTTATTTCGTCCTTATCTATATAATTACATTAAATTAAAATTTTTGCATATTTCTTGTCATACCTCAACGACGATCTTAAAAGATTTTTTTAATGTAAATAACATATTTTTAGTTATTTTATTTTTTAATAAAAAATAATGTTATTTAAGAAATAACTGTCTAATATTATATTTATTGTTAATTAATCAATAAAAATTTTATGATATAAGACTAGTTATATATAAAAAAATACAACTGTATTACTAATTTTTTCATAAATTATGTATATTTTATTAGTTTGTACTGTGATTGTTTACGTGTAATATTTCTGATTCAGACGTCAATGAATATTCAATTATAAATACTTTCAATTTTGACATTGCTAAATATTACATAACTATAAAAACAAAATAAATTTAAAATAAAAAATAACTTTATTTTTATACATATACATATTTTATTATTTTTAATGTAATAAAATAAAATAAATTTAAATAAATATTTTTTATTTCTAACTCTGTCTTTGTCTTTAGTGAATAAATCAATAAAAATAAATTTATTTTTATACATATATATATTTTTTATTTTTTTAGAGGGTTGGATTTGACCCAGCCCATAAAAACTGGGTTGGACCCAGCCGGTTCAACCTGATCACTAATGTAAACAAGTGACCCGGCTGGGTAGCGGGCGTGCTACATAAACAAGAATGAGGTGAATTATATTTCACTTGCTGCTGTAGCTGTGAATTATAATGCAAAGGAGAGAATAAAAGACTTCTACTCTTTGTTTTTGCTTTTTATCTACTCCACTGGTTCTTGCATTTTTATTTCCCTGGTTGCTGGAGTTATGAAGGAGTGTTACCGTCCATCTCCTCTGTTTCACTCTGCCTTTGGTTTTCTCTTTTCGTGCGTCCTCTGTCTTTCTACATTCTCTTTGTCTATTCTTTTTCTCCTATTCTCTTGACTCTCTCTACTCTCTTTTTGTCCGTGTGTCTGTCCTGCTCGTTAGTCTCCTTCGAAACTGGTTTGTGTCTTCAGTCCACTTTCTCCCAGTCTACCTGCTCGTCGTATCCTTTGTTTTTTTTCCTTCTCCGTCTGTGTTTGTTCGCCTGTGTTTCTTTTCTGACCTGTTCGTGTCTCCCTCTTCATGGCCTTCTCTCGCTTTTACAAAGCCAGAGAATGGCTTCTTGCCTCACGATCATGAGGCATGTTCATCTCTGTTTCTTTGAGAAGAAACAAAGTGCAACCCTCCCTGAAATTAACCTCGAGGCCCTGGAAATAACAACGTCTGGATAATGGGCAGGAGACGTGGTCCATGATCGGATTGAATTGCTGCAGATTTTCTTGTTGAATCGGCTGCCTCCACGCGAAACGTAAGGGATAAAGAACAGCGCTTCCAAACGGCGCCGTGTTTTATCCTTGATAATATTTTTCACTTTGGTCCCTAAACATTTTAAACTTAACAATTGGGATCTTAATCAGTAATCATCAATTTATAATTGTGCCCTTGGGTTAATTTTAATTAAATCTATGAATTTATTTAAAAGGGATAAAGAACTGCGCTTCCAAACGGCGCTGTTTTGTATCCTTGATAATATTTTTCACTTTGGTCCCTAAACATTTTAAACTTAACAATTGGGATCTTAATCAGTAATCATCAATTTATATAAATCTCTGAATTTATTTAATTAATTAAATTAAAATTTAATTAAGTCCGTAAATTTATTATTTCTTCTGATTTTATTAATTAAATTAATTAAAATTTTAATTAAAATTTTAAACTTATTAATTCTTTAATTTCTAACTAATTTACTCTGATAATTTCATAACTTTGAATTTATATTATTTTAACTCTATTTTTAAATATATTTTTATCTATTTATTTTTTATTTTTTATTTAAAAAATGAGTTATAACATTTCTAATTCCCATGCTTTTGAGAAGACTTACGGGTATATCCAGTGCCCTTGCCTGAGATATTTACACGTGGAAAAGAGAGTGCTTATTTTTGTGTTTTAATTTTTTTTTAAGGAATTTAATTTTTAAATATTTTTATATTGTTTAATGTGCTAATAAAAAAATAATTTTTTTTTAAAAATATTATTTTAATATATTATTTTGAAAAACACTTTAATGCATTTATGAGGTATGGTCAATGTTTAGAACCTTAATTAAATCTCTATCTGTTTTTTTGTTGTTGTTTTCTTCAAATGAAAAAATAAAAACGAATAAACACTGGCTAAAAATAATGCTAGAGATATTAACATTTCTAACTATAAAGATACATGTGCTGATTTGTGATAAATATTATATCACCAGTGATCATAAAAAATCATGATATCAAACGCCGAGCCTTATTTTGTCATATGATACAACTTCTTATATCAAATGCCGAGCCATTACTACTATTTTCCAGACCAAAACGAAAACAAAAAATATTATTAAAAAAAAAGGGCCATGAATTTTGAAATAAGTTTAGCCGATTTCTAGGTTGGTGGGCTCTAGATTGTGGGCTTCAGACATTACCCTAGGGCTCTAGCTTACTAGCTGTATGGGCTAACACTAAGAAATGGGTTTAATCGTTATATGTACTATAGGGCCTTTGTGCTTCTTTGTAAATTGAATCGGACTGTTCATCATAAACGGAAAACAAATTAAAACTAGTTGAGTGACCTTCTCCAGGAGCACTCTCATTTTTCATATGATAAGGTATTAATCAAAATTCTACACAATGAACACAGCAGTTACTTTGATTTTATTCTCTTCTGCCTACGTCTAAAGGGAGTGGGAAGAACAAGAAAACAAAAACTCTTTCATTATCCTTCCAAAATACGAATTTATTAGGTACATAAAATACCAAGATAAAGATGTAAACTAAACCTAGCTGACTGGCAGCATAAGAGACAAAAATTATTTCAATTTCCTTAGCAGAGCAGAGAAATTAAGATGTTATCAACTGCCTATCATCGTCTTAAGAATGGATGCAGCCACGTCGGAGACGTCGTGCACAACAGCAGTAGATCAATTGTGCTTCGTTTAGAAAATTTGTAGTCACCCGAACGCAAAGCTTGTAGAGACCATGGAATGTCTCCCTTTATTATAGCATCGTGTTGATCAGCACAAGATTGTAAGGCTTGTTTCATATTTGTGTCGTCTTTATATTCATGAAGCAGCGGTGTGGTGTGTGGCTTGCCCTAGCGTTGATGGTGCGAATCATTCTCTTGGCTAGGCCTTTAACATCTGTGAAGATTTGGTATGAGAGACCAAACAAAAAAAGATCGTAATAGGGTGTCTGCTTGCAGGTTTTCTCGATCAAATTGTCACCAAAAATGCTTGGAAGGTCCGCATTAACAGGAAAGACGAAGTAGAAGAACTCTAGAAATATTAATTATGAAGAAAAATGAAAAATGGGTATGAATACCTGTGTAAAGGGTACCCACCACCAGCTTTTTTATACAGAGGAAATGCTACTCTCATGACTCCGTTATGAATTCATTTTAGCTACGGATATAAATCAACACAGAAGGAACGAAACCAACTCATATGGATACTTGTTCAAAACTTACCATCTGCCTAGCCTCAAGGACAGGATCATGATGCCTTAATAACGAATTTAATTATGTTCAGAGATAATCATTGTTGTTTGAGATTCTGACGTCAAATCTTTTTAGGATTTAACATTTCTAAAAAATATTAACGAAAGAACCAAAATAGAAAATATTTAAAAAAGAAAAGAAATTTGACTTCATATAAATAAAATTACAAGTTCAAACTAGTGCAAAACTGATAGAAGAGACGGATATAAGCTTTATATCCCCTCTTTAATATATTCAGAATCAATATGGCTCTACCAACTTAAAAAACAATGTCAAATAAATTGATCATTGGCCAAATGAAATGGCTTATTTATCACGCACGAATTCCTGCATACCAAACCCTAGAGTCACAGCTCTAGTAAGGGCGCTCGTTAACGAAGTTGCCGGAGGGAGCGTAGTTGCAACTGATGACTGTACCCCCACTGTTGCACCTTGCTTTAGCACAACCTAAACGAAACGAGTTGCGCCAAACCACCTGAGTATAATGCCTGCATTCTCCACCAACACACGAATCGGAGTTGTAATCATACTTTGGTTTCTCATCAACCCACAATTTCACCGCAGCGCTGCCTGTAAGATCACCACTACTCCCTGCAAGGTTCTCGCCATAAGGCCCACCAGAATGCACAAGTCTGCAATCGCCCGCGAGCCGTTTAATATAGTTACTTGCATAAGCTGCCACGTTATTGTCCCAGACAATATTCCCAACACCTACCTGTGCACGAGCATTTGTGTGGGCATTGAGGTAGTCTTGTGGGGAGTCTTGGGCAAGGGATGGAGGGATTATTATAGCTAAGGAAATAAGAAAAGCAATTGCTACTGAATTCTTGGAGATTTCCATGTCGTTTTAACTTTCCTAAGCGGGATGTGAAATAGTTTTGTTATGAATGAAAAAGAGTGGACGCATGTATATATAGGGTCCGGGGGAAATTGTTTTAATTAGACCATCATGGCCAAATGTAAGAAACTTCTTGTTTTTAAAAATGTTTTTTATTTTAAAATATATTAAATTAATATTTTATTAAACAGCGGTTGGAATTAATAAATGAAGCGATTGGAATTAGATAAGCTCGGGCCGTGAATCGCGGTCCTCTGATATCGTCAATCAGCATGGAATCCAAGTCATGGCTGTCATTGCAATATTCTAATCTCGACTCGGAAATCATATGTAGTGCCTAATGATTATTAACATAATGAGACACTAACCATACAATTAATCCAGCTAAGTAACCATTACAGCCCCAGTCCAGGTAAATATTTTTTTTAACACTACACGAAAAAAACAATATAAACCTGAATTATAAAATTGTAATTAAGGCTGGTTTCATATTTGTGTCGTCTTTATATTCATGAAGTAGCGGTGTAGTGCATGACTTGCCCTAGCGTTGATGGTGTGAATCATTATCTTGACAAACATGTTAAAAGGATTTCAACGAACATGTAAATTAAATAATCAGCCCCACATGTAACATAAACATGACTTATTTAACACACACACACGTATTATTAAGTCGGTACTTTAATACAAGGCCATAATTAGTCAGTGTTAAGGAAACAAATATATAATTATGTGCTGTAAAATATTTCCTTTTCTATAGTAGTATAGATTTTTTATTGCAGTATAGATTTCTAAAATAGCTTAGCACAATATAGAAAACAACTCTTGTATAAAGTTACGTTTTATGATTCAATGAATTTATTCATTTAGGCAACTATTCTTCGTTCCTTTTCGACATGATATGACAGCAAGATTGACATACCCTAGCTCTCTATTTTTTTATTTTTATTTTGCCGTCTCAATTCTCTTTTACTTTGTAGTTGCTCATCATTCTGGAGAGGGAGCAATCTTCAAAAGAAAACAGAAACAATGCCTTTGATCCCTTTTTTCTCTACCATTCTGACCATCCAGGATTTATGCTTGTTTCCAAACCTCTCAATGGCAATAATTATTCAACTTGGTGCCAATCCATGACCATCTCTTTAAATGCCAAACCCAAATTGGGTTTTATAGATGGTATAATAGCAATGTTGTCTGCCAAGAGCCAATTAGATGCTCATGCTTCATGGAGAAAGTGCAACGATATGATTCTATCATGGATCCTTAATTCAATCATACAGGATCTTGCATATAGTGTGATCTGTTCAACTACAGCTTAGAAGGTTTAGGAAGACATTCGAGATCATTTTTCTCAGAGTAACGAGGGATATCGCTTGTCTTTCCTAAGCTTATATGACTGTTGCAACCTACTATACGAAGCTGGAAGGATTATAGGATGAATTGGGTTCCTATAACGGAACTATTTGCTCTTGTGGGGCAGATTATAAATGATGCTAGTTGATGCAATTTTTCATGGGTCTAAATGAATCCCACAAAGCAATCAAAGGGCAAATCTTATTGATGAATTCGTTACCTGATGTTCGCCAGGCTTACTCTTCCATTCTTCAAGAAGAAAAGCAGTGCAGCTTATGCGACATACGCGAGATAATTGAAAATGCAGCCATGACAGTTTAAATAAATGAACCCACAGCCCTGGCTCTTGGAATAGGACAAGGTTCTTTTCGCTCCAACTCTTCTAATTGCAAGCCATTGCACTGCTCATGCTGTGACAATGATCATCATGTATGAGACACATGTTGAAAGTTGCATGGGTATCCACTAGGTCATCCAAAACATAAATCAACTCGATTCAATCGTAAAGATGGTCGTTCTCAGTTTAAAAATTCTGCTTAGTCTTCAGCTAATCATGTTAAAGAAGGACTAGCACTACAGGAAATACAGTCTGTGATGAATGGACTTTCTGATATACAATTTCAGCAAATATTATCTATTATGAACAATAAAGGAACGAATCAATCCTCTAATCCTAAGGCCAATGCTGCTGGTACTTCTTCAGGTTTGTCATAAACATCATTGTGCCTCCATCGATTGGTCCTCGATAGTTGTGTAACTAATCATATTACCTTTTTTCTGAATTTGCTTGTTAACAATCATCAAAATAATATTTTATCGCCGGTTATTATGCCAAGTGTAGAATAGGCCCCAATCTCATCTACTGGAACTTTATCTTTGAACTTTAGGCCCCAATCTCATCTACTGGAACTTTACCTTTGAATTTTGTTATTTCTCTAAAAAATATACTTGGTGTGCCATCTTTTAAGGTGGATTTGATGTCTGTGAGTAAAGTTACAAGAGGTCTCAATTGTTCAGTAACTTTTTTTTCTTATTGGTGTATTTTGCAAGACTTGATGACGAAGACGATGATTGGTTTGGGTAAACAACGGGGTAGACTTTATTACTTAATCGCAAGCCATTGCACTGCTCCAACTCCTCTAACCATAAGTCATTGCACTGGTCATAATGTGACAATGATCATCATGTATAAGACACATGTTAGAAGTTGCATGGGTATCCACCAGGTCATCCAAAATATAAACTAACTCGATTCAATCGAAGAGACAGTCGTTCTCAGTTTGAAAATTCCACTCAGTCTTCAACCATTCATGTTAAGGAAGGACCAGCACTACATGAAATGCGGTCCGTGATGAATGGACTCTCTGATATATAATTTCAACAGATATTATCTATTATGAATAATAAGAAAACAAATCAATCCTCCAATCCTAAGGCCAATGTTGTTGGTGCTTCTTCAGGTTTGTCATAAACATCGTTGTGCCTCCATCGATTGGTCCTCGTAGTGGTGCAACTGATCATATTACCTTTTCTTTGAATTTTCTTATTAACAATCATCAAAACACTGTTTTACCACCAGTTATTATGTCAAGTAGAGAACAAGCCCCAATCATATCTACTGGAACTTTACCTTTGAACTATGTTATTTCTCTAAAAAATATGCTTGGTGTGCCATCTTTTAAGGTGGATATGATATATGTGAGTAAAGTTATAAGAGATCTTAATTATTCAATAACTTTTTATCCTTATTGGTGTATTTTGCAGGACTTGACGATGATTGGTTTGGATAGGCAATGAGGTGGACTTTATTACTTAATCGTATTGGCATCAACCACATCGAGACCTAAAATCAAATCCTCTACTGTCATTGTTGGCCGACCATCTTGTTCTCATGTCATCTCCTTCACCGACTTATGGCATCACCGATTAGGGCATCTATCTTTCTCTAAATTAGATTTTATGGCAAAAAATTTACTTTACTTCCCTTTCAAATTAAAAAATGCTTATGAAGTTTGTGTACTTTCCAAGCAATATTGACTTTCCTTTTCTGCTTGTTCACTTTCATCTATTAGATCTTTTGAGTTAATACATTGTTATATTTGAAGCCCTTATAAAATTCTTTCTCTTTCTAGTGTAAAGTATTTTTTGACAATTATGGATGGTTATTCTTGATTCAAATAGGTATTCTTTATGCAGCACAAAAATAAAACACAACATTTATTTATAAATTTTTTCTCTTTTGTCAAAACCCAATTTAATATTTCTATTGCCAATATTAAAGTTGATAATGGGGGGAATTATTTTCTATGCGTGATTTTTTTCGATAAAATGGTACTATTTATCAACACTCTTGCATTTATACACCCCAATAAAATAGGGTTATCGAACACAAACATCGTCATATCCTTGAGACGGCCTGTGCCCTTTATTTTCAGGCTCATTTTCCTTTATGTTTTTGGGTAGAATGTGTTCTTACCGCTGTTTATTTGATTAATCGTTTGCCTACAGCGCTTCTTTTGAACGACTTTATAGCAAGGTTCCCTCTTATTCCCATTCTAAGGTTTTCAGTTGTCCCTCATAAATTTGCTCATAACATCACACTTTGTGTTTTCCTTAGTTACACGGTCGGCCAGAAAAGCTTACAAACTTTATGACCTTACCACTCATGATAAACAACAATTATAAATAACAATAATAGTAATAACGATAATAATAATAATAATAATAACGATAATAATAGTAAGAGTCCCCTCCATCCATTCCTACACCTTCTATACCTGTCCTTCTTCATTTTATTTATGATCATCCTCTTTCTGACACATTCCCCACCATCTCCACCATACAATTAGAATTGGTTGATTCCGTCACCCCTTTTAACCTGACCTTGCCAGATTCACCTTCCGTGTCTCTGCCTCCAGCCACTTCCACCTTTGCTCCACCCATTCCTGTAAGCCTTGTTCAACACCCTTCTTCCATCACTCTAGTGCGACCTTTATGGCGTTCTCAATGACATCAAAGTCCTCTTCGTGCTTTACGTGATTAGGTTTGCAACCACGTGACATCTCTCAAACCATCATTACCTTCATCATCTGGTTCCATTAAAGGTACGCGGTATGCATGAGCATGATTTGCCCTCTAATAGCTTAATAGCTCTTATTTAATCCCATAAAAAACTGACCAAGTCTCATCTTTTCTTCGTTGTTTGACAATTGTTTCATTCCACCACACATGCATTGAATGGCTGGACTGCTCATTTTTAATTCATCCCATAATGTTTTTATCTTGGTGTAATATGAGAAAATGGAATCTTGATTTTGCTGCAATTCTACAATGAAATGCTGAACTTGATAATGATGAGAAAAATCACCTTATAAGAATCATTCTTGTAGATTGAACCAGATTTTAGAGGGGGTTTCAATATAGAGAACACTATTAGCAAGCTCTTGGTTTCAGGAGTTAAGAATTCAAGAAAAAACCATATCATTACATCGTTGTCATAACATATATTTAGAATCAGATTCACCTGGTATAAGTATGGTTCCATTAATAAATCCCAACTTGTTTTTAATGCTAAGACTTATTAACATGGAATGTCGTCATATGGCATAATTGGTTCCATCAAGAACTTTTGGAAGAAGATTCATACTTGGATGACCTAATGAGTGAATAAAAAAGGGATTAGAA